AGGCTGCTACCTTTGACCTTAACCAGTTGAAAGTTCAATTAAAGGAATGTTCCATAAAAAAGGAAGATAATAATAGAAACAACAGGGTTGGTGTTTAGAAGCAATTCAGAATAGTCATGTGAATAATCAAAATCTCTAGAATTGTTCTAATACCATACACATTATCTTAAGCATGATTAGAATTCACCATAACGCCCAATTTTTGTAAATGAGAGAAGACTTTAGTACTTCAAAGACTTTTCTAAAAATACTCTCGGATAATAAACTCTCTACATTTTTTAATGAAATGAACAACTGAGGGCACCGGAGGAAAAGATGTGAATTCACGTCAAAGGTAGCAGTTTATAGTGTGTAAAGATATATTCCGAAAGATGAAAACCAGAAAGGCTATATTTTATAATTAAAAGTTGAAAGAACCACCAAGAGCTGAAAGCCACTTGACTGTAAGGAGAGGAGCTTCGAGCGACTTTTTTCTTTGCTCTTCGACAGCCCTAACAAGTCACTTGAAGCTCTGCCCTTTGCTTTGCCCAGTGCTGTCTTCCTCCAGTTGCCCCCACCCAATAGCCAATAGGCCGAAAAAGGTTGCAGTCAATTGCCCTTCCCGTTGTCATAAAACAAAAGACTACCAAACACGCATCTCTCTGCTTCTCGACTTTACCGATCTTTTTTACCGATCTTTTTGACATTCCATATAAGGACCTTCATGTGGAACTATTGTTGTTTTTACATTCCCCTCACACCTTAGCACTACCGCTGGTTTTTCATCTTGTGCGGACCTTATTTGTTTTTTGTTCTTTGGCCTTTACTTCCCCCCTCCTCCTTTCTTAGAATTCAAGATTTATGATATGTTTTGCATCTTGTTCGCCCAATGAAACTTAATTGATTGACTACAAAAATATGTCAAAAAAAGTGGCTTAATGTGCCATGAGAATGGCGATACATAAAGCCTGCCATGTGTGATGACCTTTGGCTGATTAAGTGCGATAACTCACAATCCTGAAGAAGATTATGAGATTCAAACTATTCCATATAAAGACACTAATGTGATTGAACCAACTTGAACGGTTGAATTATATTTGACCCAAAGATGAACAATATCTGAACTTGCCAAAGGTCATTGTCATGATAAAAACTGTGCTGGACTATGATAGGACCAGTTATATGTTGTAACCAACAAGTATGGGTTAATCATATTAATTCTTACATCATCAAATCCAAACTTTCCCAGTTTGGCAGAGAACTTCCATGCGAAGGAATTCAATGACATCGATTCTAAGATCACTAGGTCCCACCTATCATGTGGCCTTCTCATTAAAGTTTTATGCTTATCAAGGAGTTTGTCAGATAATCGTCATTCTGTTTTTTTCTTCTTTTTCTTGATGAAGTATTCTTTACTTTGCTTTTTTGTTTTTCTCCTTAAGAATGGGATTAGTCTAAACCAGGGAAAGGATGAAGATGCGAAAACAGATAGAGATACATACTTTCCAGCAACAAAAGGAACACCCTTGCGCGAATTAGCTGGCAGATCTCCTTGTAAACCAGGAATTATATCTGTCATAGCTCGCACAATCTTATGATCTTCGCTATAGCTTTCGTAACAACGACCCCACCTAGGATCTCTACATACCTACCATAACACAGTTATTCAGACATCAAAGAAATAGAAATGCAACTTTACTAAAAGTTCAATCATATCATATCAACTTACTGCAATGCAAGGGGAAAAAGCATATTGGATTCCCGTGGCTCTAACTTCAAGTGCAGTTGCAGCCCCAATCCGCTTTAGAAGATTAGGATCCCTGCATCAAGAAGACAAAATTTTAACTCAAATAGTAGGTGAAAGACAAGCATACATATTTCTTACTATAATTCATAGATACTTGCCTAGTGACACCAAGCCCAATATTGTGAGGGAAGATAGTAGCATTGTAGACATTATTGTGGCCGTGAACTGCATCAATCCCATAAATCATGGGAATACCAAGGCGGGTCGAAAGAGCACCCTTTTGAAGCTCATTTACCATTTTGATCCAATCCTCAGCAGAGGCCTTAGGTGCTGGAACACTCCCTCCACCACTCAATACACTCCCTGCCAAAAACAATTCTAAGAATGAACTCCAATGTGTAATAGCATGTCAC